CCCACACTCTCTGGTCGAGGATAGAAACAAGCTGAGCCTCTAGCTGCAACTCAATCTGCGTCAACTCTTACCTGAGTAAGTAAACAGCCAGACCAAAATCGATTAATCCTGCATTTGGAGCTATTAGAGAACCAAAATCGTGACTAGACTCGAAAGTGGCCAACTTTGCGGATGCAAAGCTTGACTCGTTTTGACTCCAGATCCCAGCTTAACTGGCCAACACCACGTCTAACAGATCGCCATGTCTAACAGATCTACTGCATATGACTGACTTGATGCTTCGACCAGATGCATTTACATCACATGAAGATTGCTCGATGCAAACTGTGGATCAGGAAGTTGGCGAAAGCTGTTTTGATTTTGCGCTTGGTCCTTATGACTTCAAGAGGAAAGCCTAATTTCTGCGACTAGGGCTAGGAACATCTCTTAAAAAGCCGAATATCGTACGCCTTCCTCCAGCGTTGGGTATATCTCTTTGTTTACATTTATTGCCCAATTAACAGCTTCCGCAGCAAGAGCAGGGAATAATAAGTTTCAGGAAGCAGCATCACCGCCACGGTTACGTGCTAAACAGTCGTGGAGACAGTTTCTACATCTTGAAATACCTATGCTTGGGAAGACTACATCAAGCTCCGTTCTATCGCTTATAGACACTGAGTAAGATCCAGCCTTGATCCTTGGATCGCACACCTATGTACAACAGCTTCAGGAAGCTAACACTATACTCTTTCTTCCACTAACATGACTAGCTCGAGCCTTTACACGTGTAACACGGTTTTCCTCCACTGGACTAAGCATGGGATTATGGAAGCCCCTATCGTACTCGTTACAGCATCTCCATTGTAGAACTCACTCCCGTCAACGAAGTGATATCTAAGACTTTATCTGCGAGACCTTGCTTTTCCCGATAATAGTTATATGTGAGACTCTATGTGCGATACCAAACAATACTTGGCCAGGACCCAGGTCCACTCGGCTTCAGGGAGGCCTCGTCTCCTACATCACAATCTCGAACCCAATACTCATACCGGCCATCACACAACATTCAGCGTCTGGATAGGGATACAAGAACATGCTATATGGGAGCAACCTCCAGCTCGTATTCCATCATCCGCTGATCCAAGACTCTACATGTGGACTGTCAAACGACCCCTGGATCGTTTCGGGATCCCGAACACCTCAGCTATAAGAAGGCGACATCAAACTAAATTTTTCATCATTCGCTGAAAACCAAGACTTAGCTTGCGGACCGTCTCAGCAGTCATGCTCCTTATCGGGTTCCAGGAACACCTCAGCTATGGGAAGCCGGTATCAAACCTCCCATCATTCGACAACATCCAACACTCTACTTGCGAGACCGTCACTCAATAGTCAACCTCTGGATCGGGATCCAGGAACCCCTCGGCTACAGGCAGCCGGCATCAAACCCACCTTTCCATCATTCGCTACTATCCATAACTCTACATGCTAGATCATTTCTCACCAGTCAACCTCTGGAACGGGATTCAGGAACATCTCGGCTATAGACAGCCGGCATCAAACACACCTTTCCATCATTCGCTACTATTCATAACTCTACATGCGAGACCGTTACTCAACAGTCAACCTCTGGATCGGGATCCAGGAACACCTCGGCTATAGAAAGCCGGCATCAAACTCAACATTCCATCATTCACTACAATCCATGACTCCACATGCTAGATCGTTTCTCACCAGTCAACCTCTGGAACGGGATCCAGGAACACCTCGGCTATAGGCAGCCGGCATCAAACATACCTTTCCATCATTCGCTACTATCCATCCATCATTCGCTACTATCCATAACTCTACATGCTAGACCGCTACTCAACAGTCAACCTCTGGATCGGCATCCAGGAACACCTCGGCTATAGAAAGCCGGCATCAAACTCAACATTCCATCATTCACTACAATCCATGACTCCACATGCTAGATCGTTTCTCACCAGTCAACCTCTGGAACGGGATCCAGGAACACCTCGGCTATAGGCAGCCGGCATCAAACATAACTTTCCATCATTCGCTACTATCCATCCATCATTCGCTACTATCCATAACTCTACATGCTAGACCGCTACTCAACAGTCAACCTCTGGATCGGCATCCAGGAACACCTCGGCTATAGACAGCCGGCATCAAACTCACCATTCCATCATTCAAAACAATCCATGACTCTACATGCTAGACCGTTTCTCACCGGTCAACCTCTGGAACGGGATCCAGGAACACCTCGGCTATAGGCAGCCGGCATCAAACACACCATTGTTTATCATTCACTACAATCCAAAACTCTACATGCGCACCTCAGCTTCAGGTCGTCATCTCACTCCTTTTTCCAAACATCCAACCATTGACTTACCTTTCCAAACCGATATCCAGAATCTTTGGCTTAGATCTTCCGCTATAAGCCATATAATCCTACCCTATATTGGGACCTCGATGTCCAGCAAAACTATCACTCAATCAAACCCAAATAACATATGCACAGCCCCAGTATCGGCTGAAGAGCCGAGTTTTGCTAGCTCTTTCTATCAACAAGGATACGACTTCTGTAGTGACATTTGAAACGTCGGCAAAGCAAGTCCTTCCACTCAAGGAAGCTATGATCAAAGTGACAATCAAAGGGAGCAGCCATAGAATGCTGCACGAAGCATACGAATCCATAGATATGCATGAAAATCGTCGCTCCAATGCAGTAAAGCGGTAATATCCACAAAGAAATTGAATTTGTTACATAAGAGAGTGAAAAGAGATGTCCCTAAACATAAAGGAATCTCCGAAAGCAGATTAGTGAGCCTTTCCCCCGTTCTAGCAATGGTAGAGCATTGTGGGCACCTGAGCGCTTGCGGGCAAATTGAGCTCAATGAGAGATGCGGAAATGGAAGTCTGACAACAATGAATCTTACCTTAATGAAGAACTGAACCAACGGCCAATCCACATGGCATGAGTATGCGATGATTTAGTTCAAACGTGCAATACGACAACGATAAAGAAACCTATCAGCACTCTCTTTTGACAATCTTGCAGCTTTCAACTTAATCGTTCTTGAAGGCTCATGAGGATGAGGAAGAACGCTTCGACGCCAAATCACAAACTAACCCGTATACGAGAACATCAAATTTAAATCTACGAGCCCCAGTGTCCTTAAAGGAGGATACACTATCAACTGGGATTTATACGATGCAGGCAGGACACACTGTACTGAAATATCGACAACTCACTGTGTTCCGTTGCTACTGGCTGATTCGTTAATAAGCAGATCCTTTTTCATTCAAAACATGACAAATATTTTCACATCTTGACAGGAGAGCGCAAAACGGTGCTCCTCCTTAGCTGACGAAAGACCGGAATGGTCAAAACAGTGCCAAGCACGCGCCTCACGGAAACCCCGCCCCGCGTGCTTGGCACAACAGCCGTGTTGCGAAATTGCAAAACTCCATTATTGCAAATAGAACGAAAACTGTCGTAAAATTTTTCTAGCGTTTTAACGAAGCAATGATGATTATCAGAGCACCTAATTCGATAAACATTCTCAGATAAAGAAATATATTGCATTCAGTTTATTTCAGGGCTAGGGAGAGTTTAGCAACTTATTTTATCATGGGTGCAATTTCACTTTTTTTAAATTAATCGCTCATAACTCCTCGTCCATAATCGTTTCGCAGACAAGGACGGCAGATTTAGAATCATCATTTTATTCTTTTCAATATGGTATACATTCCATTCAGAAAGGCCACTTCAACCAAACATAGTTTTCTTGTTAGTCAGAGAATGAATGATATTTTTTCTAACGCTTAGCGCTACCATATGAGCCCAGATAAGTGCAGAACTTTGCAACGCTTATTTTTATTTATTTATTTTTTTTTGCAAAACTTGCGCTTACGCCTTCCGAGCCATTTTCAAGACTCGTAGGTTTTTATTACTGAATTTTTACGCTTTTTCTTGATTATTCATTTTTAGGTTTTTTGTAAAGTTTTGTTTTTAGTTGTTTCACTTTATATATCTGGAAATAAAGTGAATTATTTCTTTGAAGTCACCAAACTTTGATTTTAGTATCATAGATTACTACCACTATCATATGCGTTTTCCTGAAGCTTATTCCTGCAGCTCAAAAGGCAAATTTTAAAATGTCAACAATACTGGGCTTCAACTTCGAAAAATCACAATGTGAAAGCTGTTTTGTCCACACTTAGAATTCTTCCACTCACAAATATGATCCTTCCATTTTCTTTCTGCTCTGAGTGAAGTTATGAAGCAGACGCAGAAAACAAAATAAACTCCGAAGTGATCTGATGTTACAGTCTGTGTCAACCGCGTGCTCCCTTTTCCTAAGCGTTCCGGCCGCGCCAGAGCTTCGCGCCACGTTCGCGCGCGTATGGCTTGGTCGCCTCGTGAAGGTGCACGCAAAACCCTCGAATTCTTGTGCGTATTTGCTAGGCAAAATAGAGTGCGTAGTAAACTGACGAAGGTATAAACTTACTTCCTTGTAATACGTTGGGCGGAGCACTGCAGATATTTGAACACGTTCGCAATAGACTTCTCTTACCTTAAAACAGTGCTCTTTGTAATCTCTCGCTATCAGAGCTGTCAGTGTATGTGTTGCAAGCAGAGGTTTAACAAGTCTGTCAACGTGTTTATATGTCTGCAATGCTCCGCCCAACGTTTTATAGCGTGGAGTCGACGGTACCGTTGATTAGAACAACGAGGCCGCCGACACGTCAAGCAACAGGGCGTGCACATTCATTATAGCTGTGCTTAATTCACTCGTTGCACATTATGCTCTTCCTCTCAGTTTCATGCATCAAACTTTACTAGATTTCTCTTTAATGCCAACATTTCAGAATCTATTCAGTCTCAAAAAGTGAAGGCCAATCAGCCCTCCATTCATTTGCTATTTTACTCAAATGAGCATTTTGCTAACTTATCTGAGATCAAGAGATATTCTATACTGTACTTTTTTACCGTTCAGAATTCCTGGCAACAGTGTTCCTACGACTCTTTAACGTTTTCTTTCAGGTGAAATGTCTAGTGGGAAGCGTCGGAATCCATTAGGTCTAAGTCTTCCACCGACTGTGAACGAAAACGAAAAGGAAGATGGAAGTAAAGAGGTCAGTTTTCTTATTTCTCATTAGAGATTAGACCTTTAATTGGTTTAAACTTAATTATTATATCCTATATCTTATGCTCGCAAGAAAGTATCTCAGACTAGGATATAGGATTTTTGCCTTGAACTCCGATTGCTATTGTACACAGCATACTCCCACTCTGTTTCGCGCTTCAGAAAGTTTTCTCTGCCTAAGCTTCCTTGTCAAAATAAAGAGACACACAATGACTTATAGCTGCTTGTTTGCCAAACGAACGAAGTCGTCGAATCGTGCCGGATCTTTTTGCATGTCTTGTCTTGTTTTCTCGCTCGCTGACGGTATCAGCAGAAGAATGTGGCGCGTGCACGCAAAAGAAACGCTACTTGTCGAGAGTACAGTCTGCATACGTAAAAGATTTCCTATCATTGTTTTCAGCATGAAGTCCAGAGTTCTGTTTCACTGGCCTATAAAAATTACGAGTTTTTTATTTCCATATTGATATTGTAGGAGGAAACGTCGGCTCAAGTCAGTCTTGATGAGCAACTGAAACGTCTTGGCCTTACTGAACCACAAAAACAACGTATGTGTGAATGGATACAAGTAAAGGAAGGGATCAAGGTATGTATTGTTCCAACTCAGTGACTGGTTTGATCGATCCGTTTATTGATCACCTGCTTTTTCTACAGGAACAAGAATTATCCGAAGATATATTGGAAAATTCAGGAGAACTGGGTCATGGGAATGGTGGAGTCGTTCACAAAGTAAGGTTTTTTTGTGGCCTCTCTCTGTTTATCATACTTATCAACTGTCAATATAACGCTTTCTGTTTTGCATTCCTCATCTCGCACAGTCTTGGGGTTCTGTTTTGGAAACCGCTAGTATCCGCGATCGATTCACGCTCTCTAGGTCGTCCATAAGAAAAATGGCGTCACAATGGCGAGAAAACTCGTGCACCTGGAGGTGAAACCGTCGGTTCGACAGCAGATTGTTAAAGGTAAGTGGTTAAAATAAGTATCCGAGTTGACACTGATACTGAAGACTTTTCTATTCCTCCTTCTATTTCATCAACAACATTTTGAAATTCCTTTGAACGTCCCGTGATTTTATCGTTTTTTTTGTAACCTTAAACTATATGGTTCATGATTGCTATGATTCAAATGTGCTAGAACGGTGCTATAATTTTCGCATCACAAAGCTGTCAGTTCCTTTACTAAAAACGTTCACATACAGTCAACCATAACCAATTTATCTGCAATGTGTAATCCGCCGCCCGAATCCGTGGTCAATTTCTGATTCCCACTCTCGTTTCACCTCTCCACTCCATCTTCCGTTGAACATTTTAGAACTTGCGGTTCTGCATAAGTGTAATAGTCCATACATTGTTGGTTTCTATGGTGCCTTTATCGATAACAATGACATTTCTATCTGCATGGAATACATGGATGGGCTTTCCTTGGATATTGTCATGAAGAAGGTTTGTTTTTTGCATCGATATAAAGTCATAGAGGCAAGGTAATTTCAGGTAGGTCGTATACCGGAGAAGTTTGTCGGGCGGATATCGGTAGCAGTAGTGCGAGGTTTAGCGTATCTGAAGGATGAAATCAAAATTTTGCATAGAGGTAAGCGAAAAAGTGTTTAGTTTCTGGTTGGTTTACTTTTCGTTTCACGAGTTAAGTGGACGTTTTGTGGGCCCATTGTATCAGCTTCCTTCCATTGAAAATACTTGGTGACCTTGGCCATCGGCAATACGATAGGTACCAGAAGATGCTTCCTAAACGTTTTTTTCAAATCTATTTCCATTCTCTGCCGAGCTTTTGCTTGTAAAGGTCATGAGATTTTTTGCCTAATCTCTTCATGTAGGTTATCGGACTAGTCGATTGTCCTGCTTCAACAGGATGCGGCGCAATCACTGTCATTCAATGTTATGTTAGAGGAAGATCAAGTCGGCGTACGCGTTTTTCCTAAAATAAAAATTCTTGCAATATTAAGGCCTATTTATCCATCTCTCATACGCGAGGCTTTTTTATTATTTCTCCAAAACTACTGTTGTTGCCAATATCGCAGACGCCACTTCGATTTCCGTCCAACGTGACACCTAGCGACACCAGTTTACCACTTGCACCGCGTCGCTGAAGCAAGCAATCGTTTAGCCTGGCGCCCACCTTATAAATGTTAGTTAGTCAAGAGCATTGATATCCTAGTTCTAACATAAGTGGAACAGGTTGCCCAGGATGAATGTGACGCCTGTTCTGGAGAGCTTGCAGAAAATTTGATTGGTATCTCTACCAGCTCGGAACAATCAAAATTTTACTGTTAAGAACATTGATAACTCTTTTGGATGATAGCTCTGCAAGTAATGAAGGCAGATTTGACATACAACTCATCACGGTCAATGACTTTTCCCTTGCCAAAGATAGTTTATCAAAACCATTCTGTTGATGAGCTCAGAAGGTTTGCGGGAGCAGGTCCGTTTGATGACACTCACATATTATATTGTTTACTTTTTCTAGATGTAAAACCTTCTAATATGCTAGTAAACAGCAACGGAGAGATCAAGCTCTGCGATTTTGGTGTTTCTGGAATGCTTATCGATAGTATGGCAAATTCATTCGTAGGAACGAGGTCATATATGGCGGTCAGTCGTATCTTTCATCGTTGGGGCTTTGACGTAATCCAAGATTTTTTTTCAGCCGGAACGATTAACTGGTTCTCACTACTCAATCCAGTCCGACATCTGGTCTTTTGGTTTGTCGCTTGTGGAGCTTCTAATAGGTCGATATCCAGTCCCATCGCCATCAAAACATGAATATTCTGTTATGTTTGGCATCCCAGAAACGCAAATACAGCTGGCCGATGGCCGAGCAGATGTGAGTGGAAGTTTCGATGCATTCACTGAAGGATCTCACGCTATTACCCAATTATCTCAAGCGGTGCGACTATACGATTCCGTAATAACTTTCGCAGGTCCCACCGTACCAGGCGTCGAATAATCCTGCAGCTATGGCAATATTTGAAATGCTTGATTATATAGTTAACGAGCCACCGCCGACACTTCCAAAAGGGGTATTTAGGTGAGTCACGCCTTTCTTACCTGATAGTTTAGCTTTTTTTCCACATTATAGTTGTACATTTTCATTAAATTCGGTGTAGTAGTTTCTTTCCTTTGTGTAAGATCCGTATCTCTAGTGTATTCTCCTGCTCAAAAATTTGACAGAATTTTCGCTACGGTCTACTCCGATCCACCAAGCCAAAGTTGCTATGGCGAAGTCCGTGTTCCGGTGGTTTTGCGCCACCGCCTACGGCTAGCTTGTCTGCTCTCTCTTTAATCTCTTCCCCTCTCCGACAGCGCGCTTATGCGGCGCAAACCCCTAGCGCTGCGAACTTGCGAATTCAAGCCAACTCGGCCTGATTCCGATTGGGACAGATTGTACATTGCAGAGGAATTCTCGATCTTTGACGAACTTCTGTGGCCGTATTCATCAAGTGCGTTCCTTGATGAATACGGGCACAGAAGTTCGCTAAAGATCTGAGAATTCCTCTACATTGTACAATCTGTCCCAATCGGAATCAGACCGAGTTGGCTTGAATTCGTCATCAAGCTAGTGGGTTCGCGAACCCACTAATGCTTTTTATGAATATCGATCCAACCAGCGGGACTATTTTCGCTTCACTGAGTAGCGGAACCCACTGGGTTCGTTAATGAATATGGCCACTGAACAGCAGAAACACCAGTTTTGTCAGTACAGAGTTTTATGAAAGTGTCATATTTCCAGTGATGAAGCAGTGAATTTCGTCTCAAAATGTCTAAAGAAACTGCCCGGAGAGCGTGCGAACCTCAAGTCGTTGTCATCTGATCCTTTCTTCATGCGCTATGCAGATGTAGACGATAGTGGAGAGTTTGCGAGTTTTGTCACCGAGACTATATCCATCCAACCAGCACAATGAGGTAACTGGGTATAACTGTCATATGGTTTGCGCTTTTCGCTTTCATAGTATTGAAGTGGTCGTGGATCGCTCGTTATATTTTTTCCTGTTGAGGTTTATCATGATCTTCGATAGATCCGGAAAGCTGATCCGTTCATGGTTGTGCGTAGTGATGAAAGAATGATTTTCCTTCCTTCCGATTTATTGAAGAGAAGCTGCGTGTTTTTCGAATGCCCAAATTCCGTGTCCCTCAATGGCAAAAAGTATGCTTTCACCTGAATCAGTAGCTAAAAGTCACAGTTCTTTTACATTTTTTCGTTAGTGAAATTGTTTTAAATTGAGACTTCGTGATGTATCTGCTAGTGAATAGTATATGTCAACTAATTCCTAGTCTTTAGTGAAAATTTTTGTCAATTATATAAACTTTGTGACACTTTTATACAAGTGTTTGGGTAAAACAAGCTCTCAGTATCAAAATAATTTGCTTTGTTCAAAAAAATTTGATTTGCAGTTTTATCTATCTTGTATAGTGATTTTTGCATTGTGATGTAACATCCTTGTCAATTTATCTTTATTATGCAAAATGACAGTTACTTGTCCTTTTTCGACTCGGTTGCGTTGGTTGTAGTCCTTCCTGCAATAGCATAAGATCTTTTGTTGTATAATGTGATTCTCGATTTTTTTATCTGCTGCTAGCATGTGAAATGAATGTATTTTTAAAGTGTTGTGTTTAGTGGAGTAGTGGTTGCTGCCACCATTTATCATAGAGATTTGCTTCGTTTCTAAGTTATCGGGAATCTTGCGCATAGTTCATGGCTCGAGGTTAAATTCTATGCAAGTTATCACTAAACAGCGCTTTTTGTGCTTAAACGAAACTGAGGTGTTGTGGCGTATCGGTACGGGTTTTTTTTTTCAACTCAACTTTGTTAAATGATGGTGCAGGTGCTTGAATGCGCATAGTTCATTCGTTGACCGCACGGACTGGACATCACTGCGGAGAACGCGCAGCGAATTAAAACGCTTGCCACATACAAATTCGCCATAATACAACGCGCTTTCGCGACAACTCAGCCGAGCGGCACGTGTTCTGCAGCGTTTGAGCAGTCCATGCGGTTAACGAATCGACGATATTTTGATGAATAAATGCATTATTGCTTTTTTAAAAATGATTTTTCACGCAAAAGCTCCATCCCGCATCATTTGTCCGGATTCAGTTGTTGATAAGAAAAGAACTTCAAAAGACTTCAGAAGAGCGTGCCTGCAAGCGCTGAATGGTAGTGAGAGCGTTCTATGCTGAAATCATCATTGAGTATCGCGAGTTCTAGCCGTAGGGCACTTCTAGGAGCGGAAGGTTTTTCCTAGTTTCATTGATACTCTATAACTTGTCTGACGTCAGTTTTTGCAAGATTTAGTTACATTTTTTGTTGTTTTTGCTTCCTCATGAGATGAAAGGGCAGATATACGCAAAAAATAATATGCTTATTGTGCTGAAAAATCTAGATCTAGAATTCACCATTGTTGACATCATCTCTGGATCGTTTTTTTTTTGTGGGTGAGTATCCAGAGGTTATTATCAATTACCTTTCTTTGGCGGAGATTGCATTTGGGTTTCCTTTCTGTTGTAGAAGTAAAGCACACCGCAGACAAATGCGATTGCGATCAATGGTATGAAAAGGTGGATGCCTGAAAAAACATCTTTATGCGTGTGGCATTTCAATGATAATTTGTTGGTTTTGCAAGTTTGAAAGTTTTTTAGTGGCACGAGACTACCATGACGATCGTCCAAATCATGACAGGGCTTTCTTAGGGCTAATCTCACTGAAAAAGTTTTATCACCTTCTGATTTCGTTGACTAAGCCTTGTAAAGACTGTTTGATTACCAATCCAGGTCAGCATAAAGTAAAATTTTTCGCTTTTTCCATTTAGTTGCTCATTTTTTGGCATCAAAAGTGCATGTTTGCGTGACTTCCTGCCATAAAGTCAATGACGCGCGAGAGATGTGCGAATAGCGAAGATCTGCAGAAAAAAAATGGCGCTCAGCTTTTGAATGAATAACATAGGGCATTTGCCAATGCTAGGTTTAGTCCGTATGAGCAGAGTATGTTTGAGGTGGGTTTTAATATTATATTAGCTTTTAAGAATTTGTGAAAAGGCTTTCGCTTATCCTTACCACTTTCTTTTATTGTTTGATGTTGCTCTGATATTGCTGTATTCACAATTTCACGATTGCTTTGATTTTGATGCTCACAAAGGAATGGTCAGAAATCGAAGTGGCCACTCTAAACTATCTGCTCACCATTGGATGCAGCATAAAACGCTGACTTTGAATCTGTACTCCATATCTGCTTAGCGCCTATGTGGACGAAGTTTTGAACTGTTAAACGCCGTTATTTTGCTAGGAATCTTGCATGCAAAGCGCAAACTTGGCAGTATAGAGCCAATTTGGGCTTAATGCTGGGCCAAAACATGGCTAGCTTTCTTTGAATTCTTAAAGTTTAAAGTGAGCTGAAAGTGCAACAATGTGTTCAACTTCTCAATTTCTATGTACCATTCCGTCGCAGTAAAATCGCTCATAACTTCGTTCACAAAGGCGCTAAGCAGATACTGAATACAGATTCGAAATCAGCGTTGAGTGCTGCATCAAATGATAGGCAGCATGTTTGGATTGGCCACTTCGACTTCTGCCCATTCACTTGTCAGTAAAAACGGCCTTTTTACCGTCTCTACATTTTACTGCCCATGTCATTTCTGTAAAGAAAAAGACCTTTTGCAAAATCAACTGCAAACCACATATTCAGCACAGTCGGCGTCAGGTTCTTCTTTATCTAGTGCGAATGCACGTATAGTTGATTCGTTGACCGCACGGACTGGACATCACTGCGGAGCACGCGCCGCGAGGTAAAACGCTTGCCCCAGTACAAATCGCTATTGTACAAGTTGTGCTCTCGCGCCAATCTAGCCGCGCGTGGTCCGCAGCATTTGGGCAGTCCGTGCAGTCAACGAATCGTAAATTAATGGGCTTTTTGGCGCTTCTCACTTATGTCTCGCTTATCTCTTTTTTCTGTTGGGATATTTTTCTTAGAAACAACTCAAAGAAGTACATTGGTGCATGCAAACTAGATATACGAAAACGCAGAATACTTTGGCTCAGTATTAGGTTCAGGCTTGTTCGCTACCGGTAGCGGGAAATCTCAGTTACGGTTAGTCCCATTAGCGAGTCAAAAGCTGAGCCGTGACGAAGACTGTCGCTTCACTTTGCGAAGCGGGTGCCAACGCAGCTTTCGAGTATCTCCCTTCATTAGATGCTTGTGTCCGCGCACGCCTCGCTTACCTAGTCGGCCGCCTTCGTCCGAGACTAGCTTTCAGCCAGCGCATATAACTAGACGAGGATAACTTATTTTATTACCGCTGAACATAAACAAATAATAACTAATAATGGAATGATGGAAATGATCCGGCCAATCCAAACAAGCCCTATACATCGCACTCGTCTTGAGACTTTATCATACGTTTATCATCTGCTAAGCGACTATCTTGAAGGAGTTATGAGCGTTAGAACGGATTCGTCAAATGTTCCTACACGGAAGACGAAAAGTATAGGTCATTTATAAAATTGTAAGGAGAGATTTGACTACGGCCTTTGCGCGCGCAGGAGCATGAGATACTCAGACAAAAAGATATCACCTCAACGCGCAGCTCAGTCACTTCCGGTGCCTAAATATCAGCACAGGTAAGCCAAAAAAACTATTCGGTAAAAGTTTTTACCCAGCTAATGCTGTTCCAAAGCTGTGTGCGTGTCGCGCGCGGTCGCGCCATCGTCACGATTTTTCGAATGTCCTATAACACTAAGTCTGTAATTAGCCGCCCTCAGGCTATCTTGTAAGGAACTTTATTCAGTGGGAGTTAAAGGCAGCGGCTCGGCAGAATGACAGCTTTGGGATATTCATCGTTCTCGGTCCTCCTGGATGAGCTGAGTCTAAAACTGTACTTTGCAGCTTAAAAAGATATCAGTAACCCGCTTTTCCAGACGTGAAAAGCGCTATTTGAGGGCGAACCGCGTAAGCCTGTCCTCGAGCGCGATTGGCTCGTGAGGGAGATACCGTACCTACAGTACCCACGAGCCAATCGCGCTCGAGGACAGGCTTACGCGGTTCGCCCTCAAATAGCGCTTTTTACGTCTGGAAAAGCGGGTTACTGATATCTTTTTAAGCTGCAAAGTACAGTCTCAGACTCAGCTCATCCAGGAGAACCGAGAACGATGAATATCCCAAATTTGACACTCTGCCGAGCCGCTGCCTTTAATTAAGCTTAAACTTCCCAGATAGCTCTTAGCAAATAATGAACATATTTGAGATTAGCATCCCAAGACGAGTGCGATGATGTACAGTCGGTAGATTTTTCGCTCGATATGGCGTGCTTGTGGTGCAATTTGCGCGTGGACAATTAGCTACGCCTGGGACGCGGGCCATTTGCGCGCGCAAAATAGCGCCAGTGGGGTGGCTACTTGTTCAAGCGCAAACTTTACCGCATTTTCTCGGCACCGCAAGCACATCACATTAAGTAGAAAATCTCGACTGTACAGCTTGTTTCGATTGGCTGTACAACAGAAATGAGTATTAAAGAGTTTGGATGGCTACTGCTCAGCCTTATGAATCGCTTTCGTAATTCTGAAACATTCAAGTTATGACTCACTTTCAACGACGTCATAGACGACGTCCATCTTGTGGCTTTTATTTCTCTCACGGCTATCTGAAAAATGATGTACGATTCTTCGAATGTAATAAAATGAACGACTTTTCGAATAGCTACAGAAGATTTGGCCGAGATCGTGTTTGTATCTATCTGAGGAGGTTGGAACATGAGGAAAGAATAACCACAGTAAATTTTGGGATCTTTGCTCTACCTTGTTTGTCCAGATCTCGTCTTTGATCGTCATATCTCGAAGAGTCAGATCAATGATGTTGGGAGTGCTTGTGTGCGTGTGATCCAATGTGGACGGGGGAAGAGCACGCGCGGGGCAATACATTGCATTACATTGCTGCATTGTGAATATCATCGCTAACAACACTTAGTAATCGTACGTCTACGGGTTGTACGAGCATTCACACAATGATTGTCAGCAGTTTACTAAGTATTTTCAATTGGAATAGGTAAGATTTTCAAATTTCTTTGTCGCGATATGTTTTTTTCGTTTTTTTTTTATCTCGCATTTTTTATTTTTTACTTCTTCGAGCTTTTCTTATTACAGTCCCCGTCGAGCCGAAACAGAAATGAGTGCAGAAGAAGAAGCACAACCTGAGCCTCAGCCAATGGCTGCAGTTATCGACGCTGAGCCTGAAAAGACCGTAGAGATGATCACAGCTGCACCACCCGAACAAGTCTTCAATACACCCGTCTCAAAGGCTAACGTAAGCGAGTAAGTATGCAATTTTTTTCTTGAAAAATAGGTGATCTCAGGATGCGATATCACAGGAGTTTTTTCATGATTTAGCTTATTTTTCGTCAATATCTACCCTTTGGGTATATCATCCTCTCCCTGCCATTTTTACGCTCGATATTTGACCTTTTCCTCCCACAAAAGTATCGTTACAATACCACCGCATATGGAAAGTTTTTGTTGCAATCTTTGGGGAATTAATTTCTTGTGATAGATGATTCACGCGAGCTACTTCGTTATCATTGCTTGAAATGCCTTCCTGCCATTTTCGTCGAAAAATTCCAGTCACAAAAATTACACAGCGGCGCTGACGGTGAATTAATTTATGGCCTCAGCTTTTCATAGAGTACAACTTCTCTCAATTTATTTCAAGCTTTTTGTTTGCTCAATATTCGCTCTAATCACGATATTAGTATTCAACTAGCTGCTACTCCTTGTATGTCAAATAATCATACTAATTTGATCAACTTCTTGAGTAGGCATTCATCTTTCTTATTCTGATTTTTCCTTTTCTCAAAAAAATGTGCAATGAATTGCATGATTTGATTTGTTCCACCCGACAGATTTTGCTCTACTTCTTCAAAAGCATGTCCGACCTTGATTTGTAGATTGCCTGCCATGCAACCTGGAAGCAAAATGCACGTTTCCAATGTTTACTTTCCCACTTCTCCCTCAACTCTGCTCTTTTTTTTATTTCCCTTCTCGAAGACACTAAAGCGAGAATCGGTTTATCTGAATTGGTTGAATGTGTGAAAGTGGCCATAGCCCTCATTTCATAGGGTGGCACATTGTGAAAAAGTTGACAATGAGACCGGTCTTTTGTCTCGTTGATTGTGTTATAGACCACAATTTCGCTCAAGAATGACAATGGCAGTAAACAGAAAATAGACGATGGATCATATTTCACTGATGATTGTGTGCTAGAACACTGGCGGCCATGTTTGTTGAAGCTGACTAAGCGTTTAGCGCTGAGAGTGAAATGGTCTACAAAAGCTTTCTCAGAAAAGAACTTAGTTGTGGGAAGTATTGGCGGAATGTGGTTGAGGAAACTCTTTGAGTTCATACTGTAATTTTATATTTGTAAAATAGCACCTGTTTGATATTCCAACTTAAGCCTTTGAAAACGTAGATTCTTTAGAGCACCGTTCACTTAGGTGGTTGGTGTGATCCTGATGCAGTAAAATAGCGAGGCTTCTAACCAAGTAATAGCATAAGCTGCGCTGCAAAAGGTGAAGTCAGAAGCGAGAAAAACGATCCGGAAGGTGCACGCTGCTGGAGTGGCCACGCCCATCCACTAGACTGCCTAAAATAATGAAACCCATACTGGACTCCGAGCATGAAATGTAGGAAATCTGTTTTTCGTGATGGAAGAAGGATTATGCATATTTGTACTACTGAGCGGTCTCGGACTTTCTACTTAGATCACCTGTGTTGATGGGCGTGGCGATCCCAGGAGCACTTTCTGGAACGATTTTTTCGCTTTGGATGTACCTTTTGCAGCGGGACTTGGACTATCAGTTGAAAAGGGCGCCTCTATTGTACTATATCGAAATCTTACCGCTCTTAGCTTGGGTGGACGGGGCCTTCAATGTTCTTATGAATGGGCAGACATGTCATGCTTTGAATTTTCACTGCATGGGAAAGTTTACGATTATTGTCATTGTGTAATCCAAGAAAGTTCCCGCACATTTTTTCAATTCTTCGAAATTCTCACTGATTTGTATGACTTCCTTATTTTGAAGAGAAGATATTATAGCTGCTTTCTACTGTTTATACGTTGTAAATTTGGAGTATCTGTAGAATTAGTGAAATCATTCTTTCTAACTGAGCAAAAATTGTGCTCCACCACATAGAGTCAGAAAATCTGAGATTATTACGAAAGTAGATCTTACAATAAATCAGAACAATTGAAAGAAGTTGCTGCAGGTTTTGGATTGATCAATCATATAAGATCGAGGACCTACAAACTACTCTACAAATTGTGAAAGTAGATAGATTCGTGATCACTGGCCTACTTTACAAGCTGGAAAATATCAAACAGGAAGCTGTCTATGGACATGTTGAATTTTGTGAAAGTTTTGCGACTCAACTTTCATAACTTATCTAAATAACGATAGTAGTAGTTTCATTTAATCACTGGAATTGAGCCAGCACGGTTACGCGTTACTATGCACTACAGTTGAGTGTTTCCATTTATTTCCATGGATCTACGGTCTCACGATAAGAATTGGTGTGTCGAAGCTCTACCGGGCTGTTTTCTAGAGGCGGGAGGGGGGGGGGGGACAAGAACGCCCTTTTCTCAGCTCAAAAGCTGCGAAGCCCCTATTCGGATTCAGTGCGACCTTGCAGCTAGAGCTAGAGCTCGAGAAAGCGGAGATCGATTTGCCCGACGACCTTTAAGCGTGTTTCCAGGCAATTTGGAAGTCTTGAGATTTCAGTCCCATGTGGAAGTGGAAGCCTCTGGCTAACCACGATGCAAGTTTGAAACTCATGACGTCAGATTAGAGGCCAGAAAGTTGCACGGTCATCTATCTTTACAATTTTGCGAAATACAGACTGTCGCACAAAAAAGTTTCCACCGTCCGACCGTTAATATCTCTTTCTCGGTCTTTTAAATATCTCTGCTTTATTCCTAGTGCTTGCATCAAGTATACGGTAAATTCGGCAGTCGCTTTTTGTCACTGTAAGATTACGGTACGAAATTCGTAAAGGATTTTGAGCTACCGTGGACCTTTTTTAAAATTGCGCCAGCTACCTAGAGCAATGTTCTCGATTGAAGATTTTGAACACCATAAACTGCGCTATTGGAAATATCTATTTCAAAAATCCCAGTAAAGTTGAGGATTCTCTTGCTAAATAATCAAGCATCGATTCCGATAAAAACCGTCCGTTCTAAGGAAATAAGCGCTATTAGCTACCGTGGATCTTTTTGAAAATTGCGCCAGGTACATAAAGCCAATGTTCTCGAAATTCTTCAAAACTCTGATTACACCATAAACTGTTTCGAACCTGTACAAGGTTATTAATGGAAATAAGAGATCTTCACTACCAAATGTTTCAGGTGTTTTGAGATTTTTTGGAACTGCAGCTGATTTGCGCTCATAATGCTGATTCCTACCGTAGCCTTACAGTAGAGCTGTTGGTGACTCGCTATATACAGTGAACCCAATACGAGACCTACAGCTCTACAGAGTGGTAGATTGAATGCTGGATTGGAGAAAGACATCGTGGCTAGCGAGATGTTTTAGATCAAACAGTGAAGGGAGGATTTTTTTGGGACACTTGATATGCCAACTTGGGTCGAATAGTCTCGTCAGCTCAATATTTGTTACTGGGTAATGTCGCAGTAACGCTTCCATCAGAATAAGGTTACCGCAGGTATTCAAGGGAAGCGTCAGACTCGAAAAAACAACAGAATTATATAAGGAATAAAAATAATTCGGCACATGGTCAACTGGAAACTACGCTACATGGAAGTCATCTGGATGTTCGAATACGTCCTTTGATAAAGAACACATGGCAGTAGATCAAAAGTGAAGAGAAAAAATGCAGAAATTGTGCTGAGGCAGTGTGAGAATGCACATAAGACACATATGGAAGCAAAAGTGGATCAATTTTCTCAAAGAGTGCGTTTGAGTGGAAAGTACAATGCACAAATTATGCTAAAGGACGGAGATGGATTAAGAGGACATGAAAGAAGTGTTGTGAACCAACCTGGTCATAGTTTATCCATAGTTCGGGAAGAATGCACGAGAATTTGTCAGTAATGGACGAGAATGCGTCAGTATCTACCCCGAGCAGGTATACTGTAAGAAGTGAATACTGCAATTCACTGACGCAGGAAATGCATGAGCAAAGCCGGGCGCAACCGGGCAACAATCGATTTCTCCTCAGTTAAGGCTTCTAGTTCGTTTTTTCTTGGGGGGGGGGGGTGGACGAACTCAGCCATGGAAAGGAGGCGAGACCCCCCCCCCCATCCTATGTGTTCCTGTGTGCTCCAGCGGTTGCAGTGGAGAGTAGAAGCAGTAGGCGGTTAATTCTCTTCGTCCGTTCCTTCGTTCTACGACAAGTAGGCGGCCACATACACTCTCACCACACACACACATGCACACATCGATTCAGTGTTGTGTGTGTGTGGAAGTCTGGTCGAGACAGAGGGTGACTTGAATACTGCTGCCATTCGGCCCACTTCCCGCTTTGTAACACCTTATCGTAACACGGCGCCTTATCGTAACGGCGAGCGTGACGCGACCAACAAGTCCTTGCGAGCGGAGAAGCGCTGGATACAGCAGTGGCTGCGTAGTTCGTCCTGATGTCCGAAACGGCCGCTATGGAACCGACAATGGAGGATGACGAGAATGAACTGTTGAATCAGGGAGCCACGTTTACCAGGTGCGAATTGAATGTTATCGTGATTGCGGATTTGGCTGCGGGTTTTTTTTTGTTTCGCTCGATTGCTAGAGGATTTTTATTTGTTCATATGGGGATAATTGATGAAATCCGGATATCCCCCGCTTCAAATTTTCCACACAGTTTGCAATCATGGAACGACCTAAGCAACCTGTACTACCTACTCTTACTAACAGTGCTAGTATAGATTCCTTTCCAATGCGCTGGAATTCTAATACAGGAAAGAAAACGTAATGTTTGCGAAGTTTCTTACTTTCTTTGTTATACTGAGGCAAATTTCTATTTGCTCTGCAATATTCGTCCCATGAAAAACGAGTTCTTGAAGAAGTAAAAAGATGAAGTAGGAGAGCACTTCAAGCCATAATTCTTTCAAAAAAGTGTGCACGTTGCTAAGCTGTCAGCTTTAATGTTTACTCTGCTAGTGAGTTCATTAGCTGTTCGTAAGTGTCTAATTGGTTGTGACAGATTAGCTAAGGCATGTAGAATTTCAAGGTCAAAATCGGTGCGATTTTGTAGCTGTGGATAAAGAAAATCGTCAATTTGCTACGAAATTCTTCACATAGATTGTGCTTTGCTGAACGCAAAAATGAGATAATTGAGCAGCTTTGTGAGGAAAACTTACCAGTTTTTGTTGTTTCGCGTCAATCTCATGGTCTTCCGTAAGGTCTAGACGTTGTATTTGCTTAGTATAATTGAGTGAGGCATTAGAGGGGGGAGGGGGAGGGAGGGGAGAGGGGGGAATGTGGTGAAGCCCTTCTAAACTCTGGAAAGTTCCCTACTGACCGGAATATGTGTATTAGACGTGAAGTTTAGGCTCTGCTCAAGAAACTTTGTTTAGGGGATACTGTAGAAAAGTAAGTAAATTTTCACTTTTCTTAATGTCTTTAGGAAGATAAGGGATAGGTAACATCTTGGCATTTCCCGAAAAAAAATTTTTTTTTCCTCTGCAGAAATTCTCCGTTTACCGATTAGTATCTATTTTTGTTGTGCTGTCAACATTTATATTGAACGATATAAGAGATACGTGAAGGTGAACTTTTTACTATCAAAAAAAGTCTTTGAATAGGAACAAGGTCAGAGCAAAGTCTTTACATTGATGTATGGAAAGGAGAAAATGGATGAGGTGATAGGAAAAAGTGAACAGCTAGACTAAATCATAAGATTGTCAATAAGGGTAAGAGGAAGAGGCGTACGTATCATACTTGGTAATTTTGTAAACATGTAGTGTTACTCACTTACTGTCTTTATTTTTCTTTGTTTTCTAATAATATAAAATAATAAATTATGATACTAACTTAATAATTTATTCATGATAGTAATTTATAATAATGAAATAAAAAATTTTTTTATTATTTTAGGTAGTTGGAAATAAACAACACTTAACAAACCTGTTTGGCACAGAAGAACTTCTACTGTACGAATTTTTTTTTGTTTACTTAGCTTCATAATTTTTTGCGGAATTTTAGCTATTTTCTAGATAGCAAGATTCTGCATTGGTTTTCTCAATTATTTTTGAAAAGAAAGGTGAAGATTTCTCTTCCAAAAATTTTCGAAATTTATATTTTCTCCAAAAAATCGCTATAGCTTGAGATTATGATGAAATCCTCCAAAAAATTTTTTTCCCAATTCTGACCTGTTTTTATGAAATTTTTAAAAATATCCTTATTATCTCCAAAGGAAAGATTACTCACACAATGTTTGAACTCATTACAGACCATCAGTGAAGATTTCACTAACCATTTCTTTTGCCGCAAGGGTAAGGGGGTGGGGACACTTTTAGGAGGGCTAAGGGCCGCATGCACTAACCTCCCCGCTGGGGAGGGGATCGCAGCTCAAAGGAAGCTTTATATTTCGAAACTCCAGATACCTGGATTTCACATTGTGTGCCTATCCGTAATTATTCTTACTACCCTTCACTATGAACATGTTGAAGAGAAGCGAGAAGCTGTACAAACCGCATTTTCCAGCTTTTGTATGATCCCTGATGATCCCCGGCGCCTTTCTTTAGAGTCATTTTTCTTTCTCCGAAGTTAACGAAAAACTTCCAAAGTTGTGCAGATTATCTAACCCAACAGTGCTAAGCATGTTGCTGATGAGAACAAGTGAGTTTTTGAAAAGTCGAATTTTTCGGTAAACTTCAAATTTCGACCTGTGGATCATCGAAAATTTCATGACTTCAAAACATCATTTGTTCTTATCAGCAGCATGCTTAGCACTGTCGGTTTAGATAATCTGCACAACTTTGGAGGTTTTTCGTTAACTTCGGAGAAAGAAAAATGACTTTAAAGAAAAGCGCCGGAGATCATCAGGGATCATACGATCATACTAAAGCTGGAAACTGCGGTTCGTACAGCTTCTCGCTTCTCTTCAACATGTTCATAGTGAAGGGTAGTAGGAATACTTACGGATAGGTAGACAATGTGAAATCCAGGTATCTGGAATTTCGAAATATAAAGCTTTCTTTTGCGCTGCGATCCCCTCCCCGCGGGGATGTTAGTGCATGCGGCCCTAAGAGTTTTGAGGAAGTAACCGACATCATAAGAAATTTTTTTAGTTTTTCTTTTTAGTACTGGTCATACGGTAGACTGTATTCTCCAGCAAAACCAGTTCTACTGATCCGATCGGTTACGGTAAAATGCATGTACTCGTTCACTTCTTTGCTCTATCTTTTGATTTAGAATAAGAATGCATTGACATTACCCTTTCTTGTTTGTATAAAGAACCTTGAACTACTTGGTTTGATGTAGCAACTTTTGGAACAAAGGCAATTTTTATAGATTCATAGACGCAGTTTGACGAAGACTAACAATCGAAAAGCAATGTTGTGCTTGACAATACCTCAGAATGTGAACTATAAAACACACTTAACCTTGTAGCTACAGGTTTTTTTAGTGTTGATAGAAATGTGAATGACCCTAACTACGCTTGTTAGGGCTTTTTTGGCGCAAAACTCGTCGCCCTTGACAACCGACCGCACTTGTAGTGAGTCGTACTCGAAAGAACTGTTTGCACAGCTGAGTAATAATGGGTGCAGAAACAGTGTCTCGGGAAAATTAGCACACACAGCTAAAAATGGTTAGTCTGACTTAGCTTTAGTTGTTTTGTGGATTTCTAGCTCTTTTGCTGTAGCCGAAGCAGCTGCTTTCTATTCATGAGTTCGACAAAAAGGTATGCAAGGCTGTGAGGAGTTTATAAACGCATGCAGAGACGGACTCGTCTGCCTCGAGCAGGTTCAGGAAAATCGTTTTTTGAGAATGTGTATTTTTGAATTTTTGTAGTGTTTTTTTTGTCTGTAGTCCAATCCTGCCGATACAACACCGCTCATATTTTGTGCAGAAAAGATGCGGCAGTCACCTGACTCAGGTGACGTCAGAGTCGCATCGCCATATCTTTCTTCAGAATGGATGAATTCTGAATTTAACCCTATTCACGACAATATGATCCACCGATTGGTCGAACGTGTCCTGCCATTTCGGACAGTGCGACCCACCGGTGAGTCGTATTGTCCTAAATGCCTGAAAATATGACGCAGACTCGATTTTGCGAAATATGCTCTGGTCCAAAATGGCAATCATCGAAAAATCTGCCCTGTCGCGTGAATGTGTTGTCAACTCGATTATTCTCAACTCGGCCTGCGCAACGTTTCATATGTAGAAGAGTCTGAGTATACGGTAGGTCTATGGTAGCCAGTCATTCTTCGCGAATCTTACGGATTTCAACTTAGGATGGAAACAGCTTCCTGCAGTAGCACATTTGGCCTATCTTAAGTAAATATTCCAAAAGATTCGTGGGAAATGATTAGCTACCATAAACCCACTGTACTCAGAGCACTCCTATATATCAGAAGATGGACCTTGCCTAGCTGAGACGAATGATGGCCTTCGATTGAGAATTTGTCCACTTTGAAGCGAGGTGTAGTAATGCGACGCTAATGTTGCCTGATTCGGCTGACCATCGCGTTTTTTTTGCACAATCCAAGAGCAATACTACATACAGTAACAGAAGTCAGTGGATGTAATCACTTCTGATTTGCTGACGGTAATAATGTGATTTAGGTCGGATCTAACAAGGACGTTCACACGTCGAGCCGCAATACCCAAGGACATCTCACCAATTCCTGATAATTCGATGCCGTCACCTGTACCACCACCACCTGCAGCTGCGGCTGAGACTCCAGCTAATCCGAATCCTAATCCTAGGTATGTTTGTTAGGGCCAATTTGGCTATCGATTATCTTCATTATCTTGGTATGGTCATAGTAGTTGATACCAGTGGCGGACCGAGTCGCGAAATTTTTGAAATTTACTTACGTTGGCTATAAAAATGTGCAAGTGACTTGTTTGATTTGGAAACAATTAAAATAATTTTTAAAATATTTTAAAATTTCAAATTAGCCTCGTAAAAAATTTTTCGGGGGCGTGGCCGACGCCACCCCCCCCCTTTTCCATATCTTAGGGTTTGAGAACCCGCAAAAATTTTGAAAAGCATCCCAAAATTTTTTCGTAGTGCGTGGGATGCGACGCAGCTTCATTTGAAAAATTTTTTTGCCGCTCCCTTCCCCCGGACGGAAATCCTGAGACCGCCACTGGTTGATACTTATCAAGAACTATTACCACCATTTCTTTTTGCCCAATTTACTGAGTATGTAAGTGCTTTTTTTTCTCAAAAAAAATGGAAGAGAAAGCTTTCAGTAAATAGTGTACATCAGGCGTAACAATCAGCCGTGGCTCAGTGGCTGTCGTATCAGTTATCTGCGATTCTGACGAGGGGGGGGAAGCAGGTCCGTATTTGAAGGACATGGCTACACAAACAGAGCTATAGAATCAGAATCATAGCCTACTGAATTTTTTCAGAAGACTGTTTATAAAGCTAGTCTCTCATAAATTTGATAAAGGATTCAAATTTTATGCTGCCACTGTTTTGAAAATTACGCTCAGTCTCTGGAGTTATTCCACTTTTTATCGAAAGCTAGCTCAAAATTTATTGGGTTTTCAAATGCTTTTATAACCACTTCTCTAACATCATGCTGAATTTTTTTATACACTGGCGAACTGACAGTTAACAGTTTCGAGTCCACGTAAGCAAAACTTTGTCTCTAGCACTGCGTTTTCTTTTTTGAACATTTTTTGAGAAATTCGACTTTTTCCTGTTTGCTAGACTTTTTATTAGTGGAAGTGATAACCAGAACAAGTACCAAATCGTGTATATTCCAGAGCAGAAAGCAGAAATGTTCGCTCAAGTCGCCAAAAGACAATGACAATGGATCCGAGTGGAACTCAAGAGTTGAGAAAGCTGTTTATGGATGCTAGAGTGAGTTTAGATAAATGTTTCTTGATTAAGCAATTTACGGGGTTTTTTTCCTAATGAAAAAACGCCGCACTCAGCTGTCAATCATGGCGTGGAGAGTTCTGTTTGTTCTAGCAGTCTGGCATCTCACTGGATGATTTGGAAGCGAAAATGGTGGATTTGTTCAGAACCAAGGATGCAGAAATGAATGGACGTCTCGCAAAGGTTGGTCGAAACAAAATCGTTTTGATCAAAACAAGAATATGTTAGTTTATGTGTTCGTGGGGGGGGGGAGAAGGGAGGTGCAGTTGAGACTGATTTACTTTTGATTTATTTTATTTCTTCATCATTTTATTCTATATTTTTATGTCTTCAGGTTATGGAACAAGTCGAGCATCATGAAAAACATGAATGTCGTAACGATGAGGCGAATTTGATGGTTTATCGAGCACTTGTAGCTGAATATCAAATGATGATTGAAGAGCTAACATCAGGAGCTTGTAAATGACCTAACCTAAGCAAAGCTTGCCTAAATTCCAATAATTTAGACATTCACGTTGGGAGACTTGAAGAATATGGGTATTCGAAGAATGGCATAGGTGGAATGGGTTGTGGAGCAAATTGCAAGGCGTCTTTGTACGTTTTGTTCAAGTATAAATGGTTATCATAGCTTACTACTTCTCTCCTTTAGAGAGCGAGACCAAATCAAAATTGAATTGGATTCGCTGCACGAAGATTATGCGAAGCTATATGATTCATTCAAGAGAATGCGAGCCACGGCAGAGGAACAAAAGCAGGTGCGTTCAATCGCAGAGTGTTGAATTTGTCTTTTTTGTCTGTTCTTTCATCTAACTTTCGACTTAACTTTCGTGCAATTCATTCAGACTTGAATTACGTGCCTTTCGCAGTTTACCGTTGAATTTCTTCTTGTTGCTTTTAATTTGATAGTAATACTTCGGAATCATTTCGGCTAAATTTTCGTGATTCTAACTTCGGATGTTCGAAAACGCTTCCAAAAGCATTTGTGAAGGAGGAGGTCAACGTCCAATTCTTGAATGCATTATTTGCGATTTCACCTAATCAACGACCATTACCCTAATTTCACGAGCATAGGACGCGGTAAATTTTTTTTCTAAAATCGAACAGCACAGACACGCCGAAGGACTTCGCGACCAAAAAAGTATATACAGTGTTGCAAATTGCCTGAGAGTATCGTGCATGCGTTTTCTCGTTTTCCGAAATAGAGCGAGGCGGCTGAACGGCTTGCTTAAAAAAATCGAGAAAGGTGCGTGTCCTCTACTCGTGAAATTAGGGTACTTGTCTTAGTATGGATTCTTTTTTTCTTGTTTTCAAACGGAGCCTTTCATTTTTTTTTGTTAATTCTGTAACGCGTCTCTATCTTCCCCTTGCCAATGGAGACTTTGTAGGAGTATGCTGCTTTACACGAGAAATTTGTTGAGAAGGTGGAAGATATCAAGCGACTTCAAGGGAAGTTATTGCGTCTACGTGAAGATGCGCAGAACAAACTGGAGATGTAAGTTTATCGTACCACAATGGGCTGCGGACTACTAAAATTGCTTGTTTTAGGGCTTCAAAGGATATGGCGGATTGTATCCGAGACAGAGATGAAAGCCTAGTAGGATTGAAATTGAAGGTGCGACAACTCGAAATGGAGTTGTCTTCAAGTCAAAAAGAATTGGAGATCAAAGTGAGTAAATTTATTTGCAACGTATCATTTTATGTTTGCATTTTTCTCCTTTCTCTTACTGATTGAAAGATTATTCAACTCAGTTTTTTCTCATTTTTGGCATTTTTAATGAAAATTATCGCAATCTAAAGTGATGGCGGGCAATTATATCATCAGTAACCTGAGACTCCTCTACCGCTTGTTTTTTTTTCCTGCTTCGCATTCTCGTTTGCAAATGCGATTTTCAACCCCATAATTGTCAAAAGACAGCGCAAATTGTGCGTTATGTCTGCACACGGCTAACACTGGTTTTTTAGTTACATATAATATAGCATAAGCAGGTCTTACGTTCAAAACTTTGGAAGAAATATGCCGACTCCGAAATGAGTCAAAAAGGGTGTCGTCTTGCCTTTATCTTTTGAATGACAAGTTGATTTAGTGGTCTCAAAAAAACTTTTTTTAAATCTCATATTTTCAGAAGAACGAATGCGTGGAACTTCGTGACATCTGCAACACGCTAATGTCACAAGTAGAACCAGGATCGGACGTGGAGCAGTAGTACCTACTGGACGTTACCTTTGCCATTCTACTGCAAAATTGGTTTGAAACTAGCGCCAGAGTGTTGTTTCTGATTTGAGCGATCCTAGTGCGGTTATTGCTTCTCTTACTCAATGATCTTGCATTCTTCATAGTTATCTGATCATCAATTGATTTGTTACCAGCTGTACTATACGAATTGAATCACTGATTGGACTATTGATATTTACTGTCTCGGGTTCTTGTTTTATCTTGCATGTACACTAAAGTAAATGATTTCCGTTTTTTATCGAAGCTGTTCTTCCCTAGATAGCAAGTTCAGTGCTTTGACTTAAGTTTGCAACTGCATACATTGAAAGAATTTTTGATTTTTCAACATTATTTTTGATCTTCATAAAAGGATAAATCATCAGTTTTTTTTTGTGCGCTAGTGATTAGGCGCAATTAACAACAGAAACAACTACAGCAACATAGGGGAAGATTCGAGGGGGGAGGGGAGGGGGGGGGGGGGAGGGGGTAGGGGAGGAGGGGCAAGCGTTAGACGACAAAACGTGCAAAATATAAGCAACGTGTGCCATTAACTTACACCTATATGCCAATTTGTAGCCAATTTGTATGTCGAGTTATGTTTCGTCCCTGCCCCCCCCCCCTCCCCCCATTCTTTTTTGCCACCAAAGACGTTTTGCACGAATAGTTTTTGGGGTTTTAAACATTGGGTTTATCGCCTATCGCCCCTACACCCAAGATGGATGACCAGTAGGGCTCGACGGAGGAAGGGAAGAGGGTATAACCCAATATACCATTCAACACATTCACGACAAGGCCGATTTTTGAAATACTGCCGTTTCAGACCAGCGCCTTTCTCGTTTTGTCAAAATTACGATCCACCCTTGGGTCGTATTGTCCGAAATGGTAGTCTTTTGGAAAAAAATTAAAAACAAACATGTTTCTAAGAATTTCCCCAGAGGGGTTATCGGAGGCGCTGTTTATCAAAATATGATTTGCTTCAGTTTTTGGGATGATATAGTAAGATTACGGTAGTCATTCTGTCGAACCCAGCATTATGGATTTTCAAGAAAAAGTGTTCTGGGGTTACTTCACATGCTGGTTACGATTATAGTATTCCAATTTGTTCACCACGGTCCCACAAGGGAGTCACGTTAGCAGTACGGTAGAGTTTTCGTAAGTATTAAGAAACTGATGTAAGAAGGCGGTATTAGAATTTGAGACTAACATTTCCGTAATCAGCATGCTATAAAATCTATATATAAGGTTTTAGCTTCTTAGGAAGAACAACGAAAAAAATCGATAAAATCAATGAAAATCAATAATTTTTTTTGATGGGCTAGCATTAATCTCTTGCCAGCCTTATATTGCCTGTGAGTGTACTCTTGAGTATACAGAAACAGCATCATTCTAAGAGAATTTGAGCTAAAGTCTGTGCCTTATCTCTATTTACGGTATAGCTACCGTAGCATTACATTACGTATCCCGAGCCCGGACCACTCTTACTGGAGCTTCGCCTAGGCGTCCCAATAATGCGCCAGAACGTACATTTCCATCGTATGACAAAGATAGAGCTTCGGGAAAGTTACGACCCACCGGTGGGTCGTACGGTCCGAAATGGCAGAACACGTACGACCCAACGGTGGGTCGTATTGTCGTGAATGTGCTAATAGAAATGGTCCTCAATCCAGAAGACATGCATTTCAACAGTATTTGCTTATTCGCTCATATTTTCGATCAACATCGTAAGCAAGCTAAATAGTCATTTTACGCTGCTTAATTGTCAAATATCATTACTCTCTGTGTGCGCCGCTTTGTATCAAGCGGGACTTTGTAAAAAAATATTGAAAAACAAGAGGGACCTCGTAAGTTGCACACAGTGGCGCCGCCAGCTGTTCTGCAATTTTGAAAGCAGCGATGAATACCTAAGAACGTTTTCGTCAAGCTTAGTGAATGAAAGTGCAATTGAGTTTTTCGTGCGAAAATGGTTTGCATTGGAGAAAATCGAGGGAGTGAAGGCTTGCTCCAAGTGCATGTGGACATAAGTTTTTCCAGCACGTAACTGATTATTATTTACAATCAATTGTTTGAATTTTATGAACAAAACAAATAAAAAATTTTTGCGAGGGTAGAAGAGGAGAGGGCAAGGGTTTTTTCAGCGCGGGGTGTCGGCACACCCTTCGAGAACATTTGAATATGCCTTTTGAAATGTTGAAGGGCCTACAGAACAGAAAATCTAAAAAAAAGGGCTGCTTGTGCTATCGCCCTCATTAGGCAGTGGTTTTTAGAGTTGAAATGCGCGACGCATGCCGCGTACGCACTATGTCTTCACGCGCGTGTGCGTACGCCGCCTACGCCACGTAGTCTGGCACAACCCTTAGGTGCATCACCATTTAAGCGGCTCGGCTCGTTCATTTTGAAAATGCGCCGTATTGGCTGCTTTTGCGCGCTGTTTACGTTCATGGACCAAAAGTATTCTTATCTAATACTTCAATAGCGAGAAAATCGAACTGATAGCATTTGCATGAGAACAACAACTTTCAAAATTCTTTTACAGCAAAACAAGCAACTGAGCGAGATTAAGAAAGAGAAAAACTAGAAATCTGGGAAACAGCTGATCGAAAGCCGGCAGCGAATAAGGAATATGCGTACTAAACTAGGACTTCGCAGGCCATTATCGCTTGGCCGCGCAGCCACCACCTCATCGATCCGCCCGCGTTAACCATCAGAAGAGTCCGTAAATATGATTTTCGGCCATTGCTTGGGGCATCATAGTTAAGAATGGGCAGGCATATATGCGCACCAATTTTACTTGTCATTTCTGTGTACGATAAATCGTTAGTGTGCGCTCTGCAGATCCGTGAATGCAGGGCGAGCGTTAGGTACCCGGTTGAGGTGCGAAAACTTTGATGTTAATTAGGATATAAGCTAAGGCACTCTCCTTACTTTACTTGCTTTGTCAGCGCGTACCTAACGATATATACCCTATTTTCCTGAGTATAAGCCGCATTTCTTTTCACCGCGCGCGGGCTAAATTGCGATGTCGTTCGCGGTGCGCGAAGCCGCACAAGCAGCAACTACTATCTACGCCTGGTAATTTGATACGGGCTTTCTGTTTTCGTTCTTTATTTGGTTTCTTCGCAAGTGTATTTGTCTGTAACAAAATTCTATGCCTTCTCATTTATTCTTCAAGAATCCGCTGAACCATAAAAGAACTTTCGAGTACCAGTAGTAACATGTAATCGAAAAGTGATAAGCTTCAAACCGGTAAATCAAAATAAAAGAAAGCACAATTTCAGCACCAGTAACGTCATTGAAAAAAGGAAAGCACAGTCAACCAGTAGTATCATTTAGGAAAGAAAACAACCTAAACACTCGCAAAGTCATATGACAAGAAAAAAAAGTGAAGACATGACTAGCCGTACTAGAACCGAGTTTTCAATTTGCTATATAGCTCTTTTCAAAGGCGTTTTCGCGCCATTGTTCGCTGCGGCAAGTGCGGCTTATATAAGGTGCGGCTTATACTCCGGAAAATAGGGTAGTTGATCGTTGACCGCACGGACTGGACATCACTGCGGAGCACGCGCCGCGAGGTAAAACGCTTGCCCCAGTACAAATGCGCCATTGTACAAATCGTGCTCTCGCAACATTTGAGGCGCGCCGCGAGTGGTCAGCAGCGTTTGAGCAGTACGTGCGGTCAGCGAATCGACGATACCTATCCCTAGCTGCTAGAACAACTCACCTAGCTCGCTAAATCGCTGGCGCTTGCGACTCACAGAAAAAACACAGTTTGAGGAAACTAAAAAGAAATTACGCGAATGAAAGCGCAAGTTTGTATGGTTCGTTGACCGCACGGACTGGACATCACTGCGAAGCACGCGCCGCGAGGTAAAACGCTTGCCCTAGTACAAATGCGCCATTGTACAAATCGTGCTCTCGCAACATTTGAGCCGCGCCGCGAGTGGTCCGCAGCCTTTGAGCAGTCCGTGCGGTCAACGTATCGACGATACACAATTTTTCTATTGCTTCTTTCTTTTGCCAATTTTAGAATCTCAGAAATTTCGGTGATGAAAGTTAAAAACAGGATAAAGTTTTTATGAGCTGATCTTACAGATAATGTCAGCGGAAATTTCAAAAAAGTAAATTTTGTAGAACTCCAATGAACCAAAATCTTATGATTTTAATGAAGCAAAGCACACTTTCGAAGATGCGGCAAATTGCACGAAGTATTCCTTTGTTTTAAAAAACTGCTTCAAATGGCAGTGTGAAGTGGAACACTTTCATAACCGAATTTCTGTGGTAAACTGATAAAAAAGAACATTAAAGAGAATGTTGTGTACAAACTTGCGCTTTCATTCGTGCAATTTATTCTTGATTTCCTCGAACTATCTTTTTTCTGCGGGTCGCAAGCACCAGCGCTTTGGCGAGCTAGGTGAGTCGCAAGCACCAGCGCTTTGGCGAGCTAGGTGATCTGTTCTAGCGGCTAGGATTCGGTGTATCGTTAGGTGCCCGCTGTTAAACCAAGGGGCGTGGCTTAGTGTATATCACCGAGGGATGGGTACCTACGCCCGCACATCGGCTGGACCTAATGTCCCCCCCCCCCCACCCTTAGCAGTGACCCAATCTGACCTATTTTTTTCGTAGCCGATATTGAATTATGAAAATTTTTGGTATTATGGTGCCCTGCTAAAGGGCCTAGTATGTACCATTTAATTCAACTGGCTTGGCTTCGGCAAAGGCGGGGCTCGTGACCTAATTAAGGCTAGGTAATGATCAGAGAGCACTCGTGCGAGAGAGACGCAGCTGCGTCGCAGGCGCGAGCGGCCTCACTAGATCACAAAACCCGCCCTAAGGTTTGAGATATACCTGACGATAGAGGTGCGCTGCTCTTCGCTGCTAGCGGCGATTTCTTTGCCGCCGGCAGGCCGCGAAAACACTCGCTGCGAGCAACTAAGGCGCGACAAGTTGCCAGCAGCACTTTTTATCACATTGTATTAGTTTATGGGGTTATGACGCCCCCTAATGTGTATTTTTCGGTCATTTGTTTTGGGTTATTGTTACTTGAGGTTGCTCCGTTGTCGTAGGACTCATTTTTAACATTCTCGTTCTTACATGAATCGTTTCTTAACCATTTTTTCAGAAATATAACAGACTTTTTTCAAATAGAATGGTACATGACTTAAAAATAGATCTAATTACTTCCATCGAGGACGAAATCGCCATCTGGGACGTGAGCTGTGATGAGTACAGAGTTGCTGAGAAGAAGAATGCCGCGTGGCTAAGAGTTTCGCAAAAAATGCAGAGTAAAGGGCACGAATGCACTAGTATATTCTTTTCCAAAGCTTCAGTATCTATTGTTACTAGTTTTGAAGCATTTTCATGTAGTTGCCGACGCGAAGCGAATGTGGAAGTCGCTTCGCGATACTTATAGGGAACATAAGACGGCCCGGACTCCGCTACCGCGCCACCGTGGGTCTAAATGAAGAACCTTCGCTTCCTCGACAGCTGCGAACCCGCGGGGTAAGTTGTAGCATTTTTTTGGCCTACGCTTTTTCTTTTTCTTTCTTTTAGTGTATTGTGTCATTTAGTGCGCGGATTTCGAACTTGAGCAGCGGCACGTCGTCCACGTGGGCCTATACGTTATCTCAGGAGAAGGAGAACGTGGACGACGTGGAGGTGGTGGATGTGGAGGGCACACCCTCACCCACCACCAGTGAGGAGCGTAGGGGGGAGACGATGAGCGAGTTTCGCTCTCCATCGTGCACACCATCTCGGAAGCTGCTGCGGACCCCGTCTATGAAGAAGAAGAGGATGCCATTGAAGGAAGGTTGGTTATGATCTTATCATACACGATCTTCTGTTCTTATTTGTTCATCGGTTTTTTGTTTATTACAGATCGCAACTTCCTTCAAGAGGCTGCCGAGGCCGTCAAAACCCGACTGTCCGTGAAGGAAGCCCAGCCGCTGTGCAAATTCGGACAGTTCGGTAAGTATACTTGGTTTTCAAGAAGCCTCGCCTAAGTTTATCTCTCCTACAGGGCTGTTCGTTGCTACTTACCTGAAGGATCTACGAGAGGACATTGCTGTAAACAAAATGAATCTTATAACAAGTGTCATGCTGCGGCAGGTACCAATGGTCGACCAGATGGAGGATGGATCATATGTATTAGCATAGTTCGTATTTAGTTTCATATATATCTTTGGTTAATATTTGTATATATTCACGTTATCATTCACCTGATTACTGTGATTTTTCCTTGTTCATATCATTCGTTGTTTTCTAGTGCCAAAACATCTGTGAATCTTTATTATCGGGTATTTCATAAGGCTTTATGATGTGTTATTGTTGCTGATATTGCTGCAATTGCTTTCGCATAAATGTAAATGAAATTTTTCATTGTGGCACTCCATACAAGTTATCATAATACAATACAAGGCGGTCTCTTGCTATTTTCGCCGAGTCTGAACAGGCATGTCGAGCTGTTCGTTGAAGTGAGGTAAAGCGATCTGCTAGCGGCGTGTTTCTTAGCGGCGCGAATCGTTCCACTTCCTCCAAAAGATCTTGCTTTCGCGCGAGAAGTTGTGGAGCACCTGAAACACAGTGTTTTGATGATGTTAGGTAACAATATGATTAAAGTCTTACTAGAAGAGATGTGACTAGTCTGGTAGCCCTCTCCGGTTCAACTTGTAAGTCCCGTTGCAAGATGGCGAATCTCTTGCAAAGTATCCCGAAAGATGATTCAATCATTCTCCTTGCGCTATAATATATTGTAATCAAATTGGGGTGAATGATAGGAGTGCAGTGGGCTGCCCGCTGAGTTTCTCATTGAAGCGACGTTTGCTTGCTGTGGTCGCCATTGGTTCCGGAAATGGTCTGATATATCGGTGGCTCTGCGCAAAACCGCCATCGACCAGGATGTGGTACTGCACTGGTCCAACGTCGTCGAGTGCCGTCGTTTCCGGGAAGACCTCATCATGGGCTTCGTAAAATGTCTTGATCTCCGAATCCCGAAACACTCCGGCGTCTCCAGCTCGTCCTGCGGCACCGATGTCGATGGCTGTGAGACGGTAGTCGCAGTCACAAACAGCGAGGAGGATGATGGAGTGGAAGCCTTTGTAATTCCAGTACTTGCTGCCTGCATTTCTTGGTTTCTTAAAATGAAATTGGTTGTCTAGTGACGGTGATGTAATGGGTACTGGAATGATATCCACGAAAGTCCCCGCGAAATGGGCTTTTCGTGCGAATAAAATGGACTTAGTCCATGCGGTGCGATAAGATATCGCATTCGCGAATCCATTCATTCCATACAAAAATGCTTCAACTAACCTTTCTCCAACTTGTCCCAACCTGTTTGCTCACTCTTGCAAACTCATTTCCACCAAGTGGTCGATATCTAACTAGGCTGACCTAACATTACAATGTCACTCAAGTGGCTATTCTGTTCTTTCCCACTTCGTTACACCTAACAGAATGCCATTCGTTATCGATGACTATGTATGCATCTAAATCACTTCCAAGACTAAAATTCATGTAATATCCGGGCCTTCGCTTCAAAACTTCTACGAATCAGCATTAAATCGAATTCGTATGTGGAGATTTCTGCAAAAAGCAAACTTTGGCTGGAGTTGCACTGCCATCTGTGAACCAAAATGCTCCTTACAAAAAACCTTGTACTACACTACAACTCAAAGGGTTTTTCAAGTCGCAAAAACTTTGAATCTCAAAAGATGACTTCGCAAGGGCTCTATATTAACTTTTCTTTGTCTTTCAGCACTAATATTTATAACTCTAAGCAGTTGAATGTATGGACTAATCTAGTAAGAAATTTTTCACGGAATTTCTCTAGCTAGCTAGCGGCACTTCAGTAATTCTTGCGGACCAAACTCAAAATTGCGTTTAAAATGCCGTCTCTGAGGTTCGGTTCTACGAAATTAGCCAAAGATAGCTTCTAAGTAATTACATTGAAGTACAATTTTTTTTCAAATTTTAGATTACAAATCATGAATTTGGTTTTGGTTGATGATTTGAAGAGTTAACAAACTTTATTTGATTTACATAGGAATTTTCGCATCGACCTGATATTTGGAAGCATATGAGTTTGTTGGCGAATATTTTGGTGAAATTTAACCTTCTTCCATGATTTTTAGAGCGTTTCTATGAGTTTAGAAAGAAACACATATTTGAGACTTCATAAAAGACATGAAACTTTTTCCACTCACCTATTACCTTAGGATAGGTTGAGGAACACATTCCCAAAAAATCGCAATCAAAAATATGCAAAAAGGTCAAAAATGGGCTTAGTCCCAGCTCACCTTGCTGCTGGGAGTAAAATGGGCTTTCAAGTCCATTTAAAATGGAGGTAAATCCCATTTTGCCCCATTCTAAATGGACTTTTGACGTCATCATTTCGCAAGCGAGAGCTCAGGTAGGGTTAAATCATTTTCACTTAACCGCTTTGCCTCGTGGTTGCGATGGGATGAAAATTTTTGGATAACGCGAGCGAAAACAGATTCCGACCACTCTTCACCGCGAACGAATAAAATGGGGCTTGAAAGTCCATTTTCCTCCATTATGGACTTTCGTGGATATCATTCCTGAATGGATATGCTGGATGATAACATACTCTCAATCCAACATGTTTGCCATCCATGAAACCCACAGCGCGTGGATAATCATAACGCTGCTGTGTTTTCATGGCACATTCTTGACGAGCATGGCGGGTGATTGGCGGAAATGCATTGGCGAACAGAACTGATAAGCATAGTGTAGCAAGGCAAAACGACTTCATTTTATGTAAAGTTACCCGTGTTGATGACATCTGTGACTTCAGAGACAATGTCAGACACAGTCTTCCTTCCTATATTGAGCTCTTCTGCGAGAGCTCCATATGCGTAACCGTGTCCAACAAATCTAATAGATAATGGCATGAACACGAAAACAAAACTAAGAAAAGGAACTCCAAATGATAGAATTTATCGTATCTTATACCTCAGATATACGAAAAGCCTTCGTTGGCCGCTGATTGGCGCAGCATGAAATGGTTCATGTTGCAGATAGGGACCAAGTCGTTCATAAAGTTCTTGAAATTCAGACGGGAATAATCGCGTGAAGTGGGCGAAATTTTTCGGATTCTGGGAAGCGATGTAGGAGTCCAAATTCCGGAAACGTGAGTCCAGGAAGGGTACATGTTCCTCGCGGACATAACTTCTTGTTCTTGAACTGTTTTCCTCGTATTCCATCATTTCCTGCATCGTTTCCAGAGCAGAAAGTACATCTTGTAAATTTTGAGCATTCATAATTCTGAAAAGAAAATGTTAACAGCATAATAAGATACATCACTGATCACAAAGGAACGAGTAAATAAATGTAGGAAAGAAACAAAATAGGAAACCGAAGTTCCCTGTTTCGCCTCTGAACCCTAGACAGGCAAAAAGATGTGTATACGCACAGACGCCCTCCCCGAGGCTCATCAGTAGGGTAAGGAGGGGATAGTAGGCAAAAAAGCAAAAGAAAAACAAAATAAAACACGAAAGAAAAAGTACGTGATCTCAAAATTGAAAAAAAGCGTACTGGGCATAACAATTCAATAAAAGTGTGGAAAAATAGGAGCTGGGAGCGATACAGCCGGATTATTCCAAAAAGAAATAGAAGAAAATATGAAAAAATGATCAAAAACGGATGAAAACGGTCAAAAATGAGGCAATCTCATGAAAATCGCCAAGAGCAGGTGAGAAAAGCTCAGAAAAAGTGAGCTACAGATCGCAGAGCAGCAAAGAGCAGCGCGTAGCAGCTACGAGCAGCGCAGAGCAGCGCAGCATCGCTAAGTATAGCGGGTCTTTTCGCGTTGGCTGCAGCAGCCAGGAGCAGCGGCGTCGTCTGGCGTCAATCGATACGCACAAAAGGCGTTGCTGCTGGCAGCGTCTTCGTCAGCTATAGCGACCCATCGTCAGGTATATCTCAAGCCTAACGGAGCCAAGCCAGAAGCTAAACGACAAGTGCGAAGTCTTCACATCTGCGATTTATTTTGTGCGCAGCGCGAGCAACTCGTAAGGACCATTGTAATTTGCAGTTTAAAAAAATCCCAAGACTTACTCAATCTCATTCTCGAGGAGGTCATTTTAAGGTTGACGAATGCAATTCTTGGTTGTACTTGTGTCGTCTTCTGCGCCCTAAAACCCCTTTAACTCCTCGAAACGGGCCGCAGATAAGAAAGGCATATTTGAAATCACAAAATGGTATTCATCGCGTCTTGAAAGACCACTTCGACCGACCTTCCTTTGATTCTTTTAAGAACTTGATTCACAAAAAATGCAGAAAGCAGAACAAAGCGAATTTGGGTATGCGGTTCAAAGATTATGTAACTTTTGTTCATAAGCATGTTTGCACTGCAAGCCCAAATATAATCGAAGATTTGAACTTAGGGTACCTGCGAAAGTATAAAGACCGCAGACATAACAGATTTTTAAGAACGAGTGATAGAAGTGAATACGATGAGTGAGGAGCCCATACAGGAAAGTATAGGGGGTGTCTCAAAAGTAAGTATTACTTTCTGATCGTTAATAACTTTATTCCCACACCAGCGCGTCACCACTGCTTCGCAGAGGCTCGCACTGGCCCTATTTTCTATATGCCTTACTCATTCCCGCATAATAATGACATTGAAACTCACCGCGCTATGTAGGCTCTCACGAATAATTCATAAATAACTACTCATTCGTAGAGGTTTTCCTTGTGAGATCGGTATTTTCGCGTGGATAAAATCTTTCCCAGAAGAACAGATGCAAATTCGAATAGGTTTTTGGAATTTTTATGGCTTGGTACTCGCCGTAAGAACAATAAACATAGCGAGCTACATCTCTGTGAAAAAATCTTCTCAAATGATCAGGTAAGATCTTGAAAAATTGGCCGTTTACACAGCGAATGCTTTTTGGCGCTGTTTTCACAAAGTAGTAGGCTTTTCATTACTTTTTTAGGCTAAAGTCCATGGCTTGCACTATAGCTTGTCAAATATATCCTTGACTCTAAAAAAAGTAGTACTACGAACCCAAATTTGCTGGCCAGAAGCCAAGTGGACCCGCTTGACGCGCAGTTTTCAATGGATCCACTCAACGGATCCGCTCATGCTTTTATATAGTAAGCTTTCATGCTGGTAGCAAACGCTATGCAAAATCTGGGCTCAGGACGTTGGCTGGAACACGCTCTACGAATTTCGTGACAGACAGAGATTCACACACACACACACACAGACAAACGTAAACAACCCTTAGCCCGTTATTATAAGTTATGATAGTCTTTTAATTAGCTTTGAGTACCATGTAGATTTCAACTTTGATTTACAGTATGGAGCGAATCACTCATTGCCTTCCATTACTGTAGGATTACGGTGGGAATCAATATACAGCGCCATAATGTAATTTAGAAAATTATGAAAAGTTGTGCGGATAATTTTTCAAATATCTTGAATTCATCAAACAACTTTTTACAAGTTTTTCAAGCGTTTTAAATGGTTGTTATCACATTTTTGAAAACACTGAAAAACCGTTACTGCAGTTTACTTGGCATAACTTGTAAAAAAAGCTTTGCGGTAAGGCAAATTTTATACAGTTTCATATTCATAGTCAGGGACTCAATTTAGCTATTAATAAAGTTTCGGCTCGTTGAGTTTCCGTTCTGGGGTAAAATGTAGCCACTGATGGCTCAGAATCCTCTTCGAAATTCTAAATCCTCCACAAAGAGAAATGAGTGATTCACTCTATACTATAAATCTAAACTAAAGACTGCTCCACTAAATGGTGCTTGAAGCTAAGCAAAAAACTTTGTGAGAAGAGAGTTATTACCGACTGAAAAGTTTGTACATACTTTTGGGACACCCTGTGCAAGTGTAGGGTCTGCTTTCTCAGGAAGTAAAGCATTACAAGCAGGAAAGAATTCAACCCAGCTTTAAAACTTGACCGACAGCAATTAAAAATGAAACAGTATAAAGTTAAGGTATTTGAAAACATTTGGAAACACTTGCCATCATACCCGTAGATGAAGCTGCATTAACAGCTGGTTCGAAGGAAGTGTTTTGTGGATATTATGGAGCAGATAGAACAAAGTGATAATGAAAATACTTATTTACGAACAACATTACAAGTACAGGATGTGAAGTAGGTTCAAGGAGGATCATGCAATGTTCAAACATTTGAAAAAATTACGAACTTGCCACAAATCTATGGCATTTCTGAAATGCTCATTTCCGTAAGTTTCGTTTCATCACAAGAACTATAAAAGCGCATTGCGATCACTACATTTATTAGGCTGTTAACTAAGTTTAGCAACTACTTTTATAACTCATCCCTTTTTGTATAGGACGCACCCAAATTTCGCTGTCATGTAGGCTATAAGGTAAACTACGAGCGCGGCTACAGTTTTGCCGAATAATACTGATGTGAGGATTACGGTAGGCCTATGGTAGGAGCAGAAATTATAGATAACTACAAATTTAGATGAAACGTGGCATACGGGGGTTAGGTGACATGTTGCTCACCAAAACGACATTGAATTTGCACTATATGGGCTTTTTTGTGTGATTACTGTGGATTTACGAAATGGGCCTCACCCTGAACAAGAAGACGTCAATTTATTTGAAATATGACACTTGTGTTTGACAGTTTAAATAACCGAGCCATGCAAAGTTTCAACGAATCCGAGATTCCGACCTTTTAGTCGGGCGCTCGTCCTAGAGCAACCTTATGTACAGCGACCTCCTTCAACTTTATGAGGGCATGTCTCGACTTGTTTACGGATTTCAAATTTTTCTTATTGTGCTAAATAAATCAACCTCTAGTAACAGTTTATGTACAACTTAGGATCGTTGTGGATACTCTAGATTAAGAACGGCTCTTTTTTATTTATTACCCCATAAATCCTCGAATTTTGCCAATTTTTAAAAATTCCTTAGATTTGTTCTATTGCACTGGAAGGCAAGCGATTTGCGCCAGTTTATAGCTCACCCGACATTTTATACAATATCAAAGTGAGCATGTCAAGATCAAAAAGCGAAATGTTATGGACTCAGTTGCAAAACCTAGTTAACAGCCTGATATGTGAATATCATACAATTATTGTAACGTCTAGATTTGATACTGAGGGAACTTTCACGGCAATCAACAAAACTACTGATTTTATTGGAGACGTTGATTTTCAACAAGTTTTAGAAGTCTATAAACTCCGCAACAACGGTCTAAAGTGTTTGAATCACGACGCTGTGCATGGACTTTCATAGGTATGTCAGGGTATTTAGCAGAGAAGAGGTTCTCTATTTTTCAATAATGAAAACAGCCGGAACTACTGTAAAACCCTCGTGCCACTATGCTGTTCTTTTTACAGTTCCGAATCAGTTCCAGGTCACATTAAAACTTAGCCCCGACCTCTGATATATTTCTTTGGAAATAGTTCCATCTATGATCTTTTGGTACAATCCTGCTTCCTCTAAAATAAATCGTTATCGGGGACGAGTCAGTTAGCTTTAGCGATGGGCTCGCTGACACCCAAAAAACTGGGTTATTAGGGCTTTAGAATAGGCAAGATACAGATTCCTCCTTCTGAATAGGTTCCCTACAACTTCGCAGCCTTCTGCGATATTATTGTGCACCTCTTAAAGGCACACCTCCTCCCTAAGTTAGGAGTCTTGAGCTTTTGGCAGCTTATGATAATGTCATGTGTCCCCATGTCCCCTAGTGTCCCCATCAAGTCAATGCCAAAGCTGCGGCGCAAAATGTCGCTTTGGAAGCGAAAAAATCGCTTTGGAGCGAAGTTGCATGAGGATCCTGAGTCGACACCACCCCCTCCAGTAATGCCCGCCCATCCATGCGCGCCCAAATCACCTTTCCGGAAAGCCGGCCTGCGGGTTCTCCGGAATGAAAATTGTCGGGGTTTCCGCGCATTCTCGAGTTCATTCTCGGAAGGAACATGAGAAGGCCTCGAAACGATCAAAACATGGAAATCGAGAATGTGGGGGACGTTCCCATTGAAGGCAGTGGCTCGGGAAAATCGCGACTGGAGGCTTCACACAATTAATGGCCTTCTGAGCCAGCTGAGTCAGCTACTGTGCTTGAAATGTCAAAAAAGCGTTGTTTTTTTTGGAGTTTACCGGCCTTGCAGATTGGTGGAGAGGCGGGGCGAAGGATTCCCGCCATAACCAGCAAGTGACTGCAGGATACAGTAACTTTACATATTTTGGCGGCAATTGGCTGATCAGCTCAGGCAAACAATACGGTACAGTTCAAGGTAATCCCTCGCCCCGCCTCTCCAA